ATCGAAAGTGTGGAGCACGCAAAGAGGAACGAAGTCACTACATGCTAAGCATTACTGATATAGAATGCTTCTATAAAATTAGAATAAAGAGTTTTAACAATAACAAAAACCACATCACTTGAACAATTTCAACAACAGAAACAACAACAATGCCTAGTTTCTAACTAGATGGCAATATAACGACATAACGACGATGTTAATTTTCTACACCCCTTTTAAAATATTTAACGCGCGCAATGAGCTTATTCTATCATTATCTGAAGAATTAACAGTCATACTAAAATTCAAATAGAAAAACCGTGAAATTTTGACAGTCACTGCTTGATTAATTTATTTTATTTTCCTTTTTAATTGAATCGAGCAATACTTCATTTCATCGAAATATAAGTAATATTACCTCTGATGGTCGCTCCTTGTCGTGGTGGAGGGACTTGTATGGACCAATCACTCTGACAACGATGCCCTGGGGAGTTCTAAATTACCGGAAAAGCCACCCGACGTCGAAGACGAGGACCCAGACTAAGCGTGACCAAACCAAATATTCCAACGACGGCACAAGCAGATGACGTTTACAACAACTCAATGTTTGAACCAGCAAATGACGCATGGTCGGAAATGCTATAGAAATCGCCATTCGAAATTAAAACAGAATTAGCGTCAGTCCGTAGCAGTTTCAAAACTTGTTTCTGCAGGTCTCATTTCTTGTACGTCGCAGTGGAAGGCTATGAAATTAAGTGTTTGGCTCATTTCCTACGCCTTAGACAAATCCACGCCATTGACACTTTTTTCTACTCAGATTTTCTTTCAACTCCAATCAGAACTTGCAACGCCAAACGGTGACAGGGAATGAATGGATGACGGGGGTGGGCAGGTTTTAGTGAAACTGGAAGCTTCTCGTCCTGAAACTGCAGCGTGGCAACGAATTTACTCATCAACGCCATTATAAAGGAAGCGATCAGCAGAGAAGAAATACAAGAAAATGGATTCAAGAAAATGTCGGCAACGAAGTAATATCACGATAAAGCGATATGTCTAAAATAATTAACTTAATTATTAAACTAACAGTAAGGTAATTTTCATATTCATGATTGTTAAAGCTGTTAGGCGAAAATATTTACCAAAGCAGTAGGGGAATTTCAGTTGGATATTTTATAATCGTGGAACTCTCAAAGAGCATTTACAAGCCCAAAGTAGAATGAACCATGAAATTTTCTCAGGTGCTGCTATTTATATATTAGTTCAAATACCACAGTACGATACACATTGCAAAAGGCAGTGATTCAAATTTATTTCAAAAAGGAGATAATTCAATCATTGAAAATTTTTCTCTTTTTAAGAATTTTTTATTATATATTTGCTTGTTTTATTTTATCCAGTGTATTAGTAGCTTACTTTTATAAATTGTTCATGACTCATATAAATCATCAAATATAGTAAATAAGATGAATAAAATTTAAAAGAGACATTGTCATGGGTAAAGTGTATTTAAAGATAAACTAAAGTTTCTACTACAGCTAGGTCACCGGTTCTCATTAAATTTTGAGCCTGTTCAGTACCTAGATGGCTGATTGTTTTAGAATAACAGTTGCTGTACACTCGGATATAATTTTGCCATATATATATATATATATATATAATTTTTCATTCCCTAGCGTTCGTGCTATGAACTAACAGGCATTTAGTTCTATTACCAGTGTAGATATAGTAAGGTACAATACAACCCGTTTTGTCACATATTTCCGTGAAATGGAAAACCTTGTCAATTTTTAATATTTTATTTGTACCCTCTTACTTCCTTAAATAATGACCCTCATTCAAATTTATGATTCTTATTTGAATTTACTGTTAAAGTTGTTAAGCTCAAATATTTAATAATGCAATAGGTGAAATTTCATGTGCATTTTATAGTTGTGGAATTCGCAAGGAGTATCAGAAAATACAAATAGCAAAACCATGGAATTTTCACAGGTACTGCTAGTTATATATTAATTCAAATACTACAGTACAATATAGACTTATAAAAAACAGTAATTCTAAATTCTTAGAAAGATGATATAATTCAAAATTCTTTTCTTTCTAAGAATTTTGTATTATATATTAACCTGTTCAACCAATTCTAAATGTATTAGTCGATTATTTTTATAAATTGTTTAGGGACCATATAAATCATCAAAATATTAAAATAAGATCAGGAAAATTTTAAGAAACATTGTCATGGGTAAAACGCATTTAAAAACAGACTACCCAAAGCTTTTACTACTGTTATGTCACATTGAAACATCGATTCTCGTACAATCACCAATGTTAATGTTGGGCCTGATCAGTAGCCAGAAGGGTAACTGTTTGAGAATAACAGGTCCTGTAACCTTGGATGTGCAGGTGCTGTAAATAGCCATAAAGTTACATTTCTAGTTGAATTCGTTAAATTCACTTACACCCTTGGGAAAAGTATGAATCCACCTACTCTCCCACACCCCAGCTATGGGATTATTAGTATCATTCGTATCAGTAAATTATTATTATCTTCAAAAAATTCTTATAATCTAAAAATAAATTCTGGCTTTAAATAACTTACAAAATGTTGCTAAGCCATAAAAGACAAATCAATCAACCGGTTAAAATTTCTACATTCTTAGTAAAAGAACTTGTGAATGAATCCTGTCAATCTGAAAGAAATAATTTTTCGCCACACTTTATAAACTGGCGCTAGAAAATCACAAGGAACTTGGAGACTTTTAACAACAGCAGCAACTAAAACTAGTAGTACATGTCATTAAAAGAGAAAATAGTGATATAATGAAATTGTTAGTTTTCGATACTACCAAAAACAAAACATTGGAAGGAAAATCCGATCAGTACTAGAAAGAGTTATAACAATTAGTGGACTTAAGAAGTTTAATTCTATGAAAAAAAAAAAAAAACTGTTCGATCAATGAAGGCTAATTTGTTTCCTGTAAAGAAAAACCTACCTTTACTATTACCGTCGTCAATCGCAATGAAAATGTCACGGTTATGTTTTGTCTGGGAACGCTCAATTTTTATCCTATTTAAATTTATCAAAATATCCACCTCCTCCAAGGGAAAGGTACAATGTTTATAAATTTCGTTTTACAGAACAGTTCACTAATGTGGTGTATGCTAGCCTCCATTGTTTTGTCATCAACGCAGCCAAGTTCGGCGATAGGTTACATGGGAAGGGAACCCTATAAATATCATTTCCTAAGATTTTGGAGAAGATTTTGAACTTAGACCTTTTCAGTTTCCTTCATTATATATATATATATATATATAGCTTGCGAGGAGTAAATTGTCGCATTTTATATATTTAAATTAATGCATGGGCGTTGTTTATTTTTGATTTGGTCAATTGCATATTACAGTAGGTTCAGTTGGACCCCATCTGTGAGGAAAAAAAAACAACATGACGCAGTTCACTCCGCCAAACATTTGGAAACGGCATTCATTCGCTCCGGAAGCCCCAATACGATCATATCAGTGTGTTTGCATATCAATCTGAATCCAATGCAAAGGATTCGGAAAGTGTTGGATGAGTCTAATGGTGATTACGAAGGTGTTTGGAGGATTACTAGTGAAAGCAACATTACCACCCCCATCATTAATTTTCCCCACGGGGTCAAGAGAGTGGCAGCTGGAAGAATCTATGTTTGGCAACTGGACTCTGAAACACACCACACAAGCAGGAAAACGCAGTCAGGGGTGTCAGACAATTTCTGCAACCACATCAGCCTTTACATCTAGTAAAAAACTCCCCAGCCTGCATCCCACTTGATTATTATATGTGGGGCGCAGTTGAGTGACAGACCAACAAAACTCCTTGTAAAAACAAAGATGAACTGAAGGCAAGCATTCAGCAACTTAAACAAGGAAACCGTACGGAAGAGTTGCAAGAGATTCCGAAGTCGTCTCGAAGCCGAGGTTAAAACCAATGGCGATTTTATTGAATAAATTTACTCTTTACTATTTTAGATATTTCTGTGTAATTTTGGTAAATGTATCTGTTAAAATGAGATGACAGTGCTATTTTCATTTTTGTGTAATTTAGACAACAATTTATCAATCGCACGCTTGTGTTTGTGTATATATATATATATATATATATATATATATATATATATATAATATATGCGTGTGTGTGTGCGCGCACACGCGCGTGTTTGTAATGGTATGCTTTTTAGAACTTATTAAATCGTAAGAAATATTGTCGGATCAAAAAGTACCATAATAAGTTATGGACATTTTCAAGAGTTTGAAGAGACGCCCCCCTTTTTTTCTTTTTTTTTTTTTTTTTGTTGGACAGTGTGACTTTCATTTGTACATTCGAAAATCTTAATGAAGAAAATATACCTTCCGACAGGGTTCGAACCTGCGATGGTTTCCCCCCAAAAAGAGGAACGCGGTCCCGAATCATGCCAGCAGACACATTTTCTTGATTAAGATTATTGAATGTACAGCATATTAGTTGTAACTTAGAATGTAAAAAGAAATCAAAACAACCAAACAATATAAACTCGGGATGTCTACACAAACATGTGCATCCACTAAAATCTATATATTTAATAAAATTTCATCCCCCACACACACATAAACATATATATAAATATATATATATATATATATGTGTGTGTGTAGGCGGGTGTGTCCATTGGAGGCGATGACTGGAGGTACAATGCTATTTGATGAGTGAGATCCTTCCTGTGTGCCTCCAATATTAGATCACGTGCCAAATTAGGTTAGCCTTATCAACTACCTATACTAATGGAGGAATTATTGGAAGTCAAATGTGCCAAGCCCCATAGCAATAGGGAGACAAAATGGTGCAAACAATAACAATAAGGATATCAAAGATTGCAAATTAGAAATGAACGATAAAATCCATCCACAAGTCAGGTCTGAAGACAGAGAATATTGACCATGAAAGGCATATAGTTAAGTAGAGTAGCGTGCCTCAGGGAAGGAGAACGGGAAAAGCAAAATAAAGATTATAATGAAAAGAAGAAAGAAAATTCTGGGAAATAGATGGTCTCAAAACAGAAAGAAAATATTAAGCAAGAGGAACAATGAAGGAACAAAAGGCCCGGATGAAGAGAGCGATATTGAAAAGTAATATGGAGGAATGAATGAATGAATGAATGAATGAATGAATGAATGAAAGAAGAAAGAAAGAAAGAAAGAAAGAAAGAAAGAAAGAAAGAAAGAAAAATAAATAAAAATAATAAAAACAAAAGATCTCGGTTAAGAAGAATAATCAAATAGAAAATTAATTGAAAGAAAGAAAGAAAAATGATGATGATGACGAAACAGAAATAAAAGAAAATGATCATGATGATTCTGATGAGGAAGAAGTAACAGAAACAAAAGGTAAATCAACTCGAAAAAAGTAAAAAAAAAAAGAAAGAAAGAAGAAGAAATAGTTGAGGAAGAAATAAATGGGAAATCCATTGGAAGCAGATAAAAGAAAGAAAGAAAAAAAATAACGAAAGAAGAATAAACAAAAGCAAAAAGGAAAGAAAAAAAAGATAAAGAAAGAAAAAGAGAAAATGAAGAGGACAAAATATAAGGAAATTATTTGTCGCAAAAAGGAAAACAGGGAAAAGAACGAATGGAAAACAGAGAAGAAATGAAAAAGGGGAAGAAATAAAGAAAAAAATCAATTGATGGAAGAATGTGGAATTTAAGAAGGAAAAGCGAAAGAAAATGTAGAAAACAGAGGAGAGTATAAAAAAGAAAATAAAAGAAAAATAAAAGAGGAAATGCTAAAGCTGAAGATGATGAATAAAAAAAAAAATTTAAAAAATGGAGGAGGAAAAATAAAGCAGAAAAGGTAAAATCAATTCGAGGAAGAAGAGGAAGAATGCAAGACGAAAAAGGAGAAATGAATAAGGTAAAGAAAATCAATTGGAGGCAAAAGGAGATAAAGAAAGAAAAAAAAATAATTAATTAGAGGAGGGAAGACTGACTGACTGAATAAATGAATAAAAAATGAATAAACGAAAGACTGAATGATAAAAAGAAGAGATTATACGATTGAATAATGTTAGTTATGAATATATTAAGACAATGAAATAAAGAAAGAATGAAGAAGCGATGACACAAAAACAGATGACAATTGGAAGGAATTCCAAGACAAACGAAGAGAAAAACGTATAAGGATTAACGAATATTAAAAGAGAACTGAGTGTAACAGAATGAGACTGTGACACAACTGGACAGACGTGTAAGACAGTTTAATATCGACCAACCTTCTACACAACCACCAACCATTCTGTTACCAGACCATATCCCGTCCAATCATTTGAAGAATCTGATCGAAGATAGTGCGATGTTTTCTTTAATGCCCTTGGAATCGTCCTTAGTTCCGTGCCTAATTGGTCTAATCTTCTTTTCCGCTATTCAGAGGATTGAGGAAAAGAAAGTGGTCGTTTACTGAAAATGTCGGAGGAGAAAGAAAAGCGACGTGCGCAT